ACCAGGTGAGCAAAAAAATCAGCTTATTCTACGACTTGGCAATTTAAAACAATAAAACATCATTCAAAGGCCGATTAAAAGCCTTAATCTGACACCGGGCAGTAAGTTAGTGGTTACTAGACGGCATTCCAATGAGTCCAAATTTAAAATGACGCAAATTTTAGAACATTTATTCGGTAATCTGACTCCGTGAAGTTTCAAACTGGTTTCATTTCAGTCTGACGTAGAAATTTTAAAGTTGAGTGAACTGCAGCGAAAAGGTGCGTGGTTAAAGCTTACAAAACAACTTAAATAGTTTGCAAATCAGTCCGTTTTTTCGCGGTCCGATAAACGACAGGGTTTCGCATGGAATAGACAACAAACTGCATGAAACATAGAACACAAATTATCACCTTCTTATCTGCAAAAACCGGCCTTTTGGTTCAAAGCCGTTAGAGCCCGCTGAAACCTGAGGACCTAGATCCAATTTTCCTGAATCGAGAGTAACTTTTCCAAGGCATAATCAGCAAACCTAAACTCCAAAGAAACGTTTTTATTGCTGGCACATAATATTTTGGCGAAATAGCTCCACCACGCGACCACATACCTGCAACACCATGCGGAAATCACAGAATCACACACTTTCGCGGCACTGATAAGACAATCAACAACCACGCATAATCTTCTGACGTTTAACACTTTAACGCGAAATATCATCGAAGATAGAAGTTCGCGAAATTCTGTCTACAGCCACTTCTACACAAATCCCTAACCACAAAGCGAACAGAAAAAAGACGCAGGCAAACAACTCAGTAAAGTTGTTAAAGAAGTTAAGAGAAATTACAACATGTTTGCTAACCCGGTTTTCGTAACTCCAGGTAGATTTAAGGGCGGACTAACAGCTTCTCAAAAGGGTCTGGTGGGGCCTGAGTGATGCGGTCTACGAAAGAATTCTTTTCATTCCTTACTACTGTGATTGAATTAGATTCACTGATTCATTTATTTTTTTGGCTGTAAACATTAGTCTGTTAGCTCGATAGTAGAGGTTTTTTTAAAGTATTTTTCCGGAAATATCCCAAACCTTCCCTCATAAAGGTAAATGTACATTTCTACATTTCTTTGCGCTGGCTAAACGTTTGGTTCAAATTTTATTATTTTCAGGAAATTTAGAGTATGTAAATGGAAGCTTCGCTTTTAGGCTTGGCTAAACCTACATATTAATATTACATTGAATTCCAACCACATAAAGAAATAATTTTTTTATGGGGTCAGTTTTTACCTTGTTCTAGGTATCCCGGCAGGAGGTATTGTCAATCAATCATATTCCAGACTGATCCTCTTTAGCCCAAGTCGTTAAGTCAAGTCAAATTTTATTCAAAATTATAAAAATATTGACAGAAGGGTTAGGATAATACTACGTTACCATGCGCATTATAGTGTAGATATAGTTTTGTTAAAAAAATGATAGAAAGAAAAGAAAAATAAATAAAGTAAATTAATCTACAAATTGCCTCTTTTACGACAAAAAAAATCACAGAAAAAGACAATAAGAACAATAGTTTAAACAAATTGTTAATTTCCTATTAAAATAGGGACCGATTATTAAACAGTTTACTTTAAACTATTTTACTTTTCAATACAGTGGAACCCCGTTGATACGATCACCAATGGGCCCAAAAACATTGGCCGTATTAACGGGGTGACTGCATTACCGGGGTAGGCTAAAATTTCATGACTCGAGGGCCGTAATGACAAACACACCAGGAATACACCGTGCATCGCATTCACCGTACTGTTCTCATTAATAAACTACAGGAATGTAGATATCGCGTACAGTAATTGAAAAAACTTCTTAAAATTTTCCTCCAGTACATGAAACAAACTCATTATAAATCGCCAGAAGTGCATTTTAAGTGTACTGTAGTCTAAAAACAGGACAAGAATAAGCTTAGACTAGGATACTAGATCAATAAAATTGACATGTCACAGGCATTTTAATTTTCTTAATTTCGATCGAGTGGCCGCATTAACGGGGTGAAATTATAAGGGATTCTACTGTCTGGGATTTTAAAATGTGGTTTTTGGCCGTATTAACGCGTGACCGCTCCCAACGTTTTTTTTATAAAGAATTTGCCTGGCCGAGAAAAACTGGCCGTAATCACGAGGTGACCAGAAAAGGCCTAGGGGGTGTACTCCTTTGTATGGCCTATAAGGCCATATAGGGTATGTTTTTTGTCCTCTCTGTCCTAAACAGGGTGTACAATTTCGCGCCATTCTGTCCGAAAAAGGATATACAAATTCATGCGAGTCTGTCCTAATTATAAACAGGGTATTGCCTGTACGATTGATTTAATTTGCTTAATGAAATTTGTTTGTATTCCAAGTATACAAAAACGTGGATTTGCTCTATGGCAATTGCCAACAACTGGCTGTAAAACAACACGGCGTGCATTTTGTCCTTTGTCCTAAACAGACTATGTATCTTCACAGGCGGCCCAGACGTAGTATGTGTCACTGAATGAATGTATTTATATTCACATGGACAAATTAATGCGATGAGTCGTCGAAACTCCCATGGACTAAAATAGTCTAAACGTCAAAATAAGACAAAACAAAGCTAAGATACCTTCAACTGAACGTATCCTTGTCTTTCCTGGCCGGTTTAAGTGGCATTTTATTGAGTTTTGCAATTGTAGGTACTATCCACTAAAGAAGAATTAAAGGCTGGCTACAAAACAAACACACCATCTCCACGCGCCTTCACACGAAGCGCTATAAATTCGAGAATAATCGACGAATCCGCTCCAAATAACCATCGGCTAATCTGCAGGTAACGTGTGCTCCTGCTTCTGGCTCGCTTGCTCCACAAAACCCATCGCAACTTCACAATAATTGCTCGCTCATCAACAACCACTGTTGACCTTTACGCTTCGATATGACCGCAACCGACCAGGTATAATACGCGACGTGAATACTCAAGCTTAGCGACCGCGTTCGCGCAACAATGCAGCACTTGCTATGGGAGGGATGGTACTATTGCTTCTAGGTCAATCGACTGACCGAAGGTTCGCTGCGCTAGTTTTGACCAGAAAACAAAAGGCGATCGCGGGACCGTCTGTAAGTTTTCAACAGGGCAGCCCTGGTTTTCAATTTCGAATTCTTCTGACGTTCGCTGTCTCTGCTGCTGTCACATTGTTCGTCCAGCCGCTTGCATAGGTTCTTGACTCTACCAGACTTATTTGCTTAGATTAACAACGTCTTACTCCATAATATGTTGTCCAAACTGGTGAAGGAGGACGAGAATTTTCCGCCCAGGAAAAAGGCAAAATCTGGCCCCCGCTATGCAGCTGAATAGAAGATACAGCTGAAGATATCGTAAAGTAAAATTTATGTGCGCGATATCTATTTTATTATTATTATTATTCTCAAAACTCAGGGGCACCCAACGATGATTTCCTTCTACATGCATTGAAAACACATATAAGGCTGTCCAGAGTACTTTTGATCGAAAAATGCATTTTAAACAGCGCTTACATAAATTTAGTCAGTAGGGCTAAAAGCGTAGCTAAAGATTTATAGCTTGCTCATACTAAATATAAAATATATCGTGTAATGCGAAGCGGAGAAGGCAACGAGACAGGGCCACCCAACGACTGTTTCCTCAAATACTTTCAATTGAAAACACTTTTGTAGCTATTCATAAAGTACTTTTAGTCCTATAGAAATGTATTCTAAGTGGCGCTATAAAATTTGCATCTCAGTGTTCGGCCATTCTAGAGGAACTTGAGTCTTTTCGAAATTACGAGGAATTCAGAATTATTTTCCCGAAAATTTTAGATGCAATTTAACGTATTACGAAGGAGATAATTTTTCAGATACCTTCTTTCATCACATTTTTGAATCGGAAAATTTTAGGATTCCATTTTACTCTCTACGAAAAGTAGCCTAACCCTGTGAGTGAAATGTGAAAAATTAAAAGTTGGATGCCCTTGACCAGAACTGTGAAAAACAACAATAGGTCTAATTGCAGCACACTTTCTTGTACATTTCCTAGCCGTTGATTTGCATGACTGCAACGTGAAACGTCTAGAAAACTTCCTGGTTTTCACTTTTTCACATGTTCGTGTTCACTTTTTCCACTGCCGCTCATTTCTTTTAGCTCCGCTATAAGATTCGTATCTGTTCGGTGCTCCTTGGGCAAATTGGATCTTTTTAAAAATTACAAGGGCTTCAATATTATTTTCCCGATTGATTGACCTGGAAGCAATAGAACCATCCCTCCCATAGCAAGTGCTGCATTGTTGCGCGAACGCGGTCGCTAAGCTTGAGTATTCACGTCGCGTATTATACCTGGTCGGTTGCGGTCATATCGAAGCGTAAAGGTCAACAGTGGTTGTTGATGAGCGAGCAATTATTGTGAAGTTGCGATGGGTTTTGTGGAGCAAGCGAGCCAGAAGCAGGAGCACACGTTACCTGCAGATTAGCCGATGGTTATTTGGAGCGGATTCGTCGATTATTCTCGAATTTATAGCGCTTCGTGTGAAGGCGCGTGGAGATGGTGTGTTTGTTTTGTAGCCAGCCTTTAATTCTTCTTTAGTGGATAGTACCTACAATTGCAAAACTCAATAAAATGCTACTTAAACCGGCCAGGAAAGACAAGGATACGTTCAGTTGAAGGTATCTTAGCTTTGTTTTGTCTTATTTTGACGTTTAGACTATTTTAGTCCATGGGAGTTTCGACGACTCATCGCATTAATTTGTCTACGTGAATATAAATATATTCATTCAGTGACACATACTACGTCTGGGCGGCCTGTGGTATCTTAGGAATTTTTTGGTCCTTAACAGGGTCATTGAAACCCTCAGCGACTCACCTATACCCAAACGCATGTGCTTTCCTGTGCAATCTTTTCAGCATAAATTTAAAGTTATAAAACGGGCTTAAAAACGTGAAACGTCAACGCTATAACACAACAATTGCAATTTGAATTTTAAAATTGTTACTGATCTTTGAGAATGCTCTACTTAACTGAAATTGTCTCTCCGTAGAGAGCTAAAATAAGCATAATAGCAAAGCCAAGCAGTATGCCAAAATTCTGAAGAGCAAAGGCCTTGATGTTTCGGCGAATGGAACGTTCTCCGATTTTAGCTGACATTTCACAAGCTTCCGGTAACTGCAATAAAATAAACAGGAAATAAATGTTAGAAGCGGATAAGGTTTGATAATTTGTGATAATGATCAAAGCAGTGATAACGTAGCGTGCTAAACAGCTGTCTCTCATTGCTCGTCGCTGACAGGGATGTTTTGTGAGAGAAGCGTTTGCATTTTGTCCTCAAAAATTATATGCTGATGATATAAATCTGTCTAGAATCTGGTCAGGAGACCATTACAGACGTGGGAGAGACGCTATGCCCCTTAGATGGAACTAATCTTGAAAACGCGTATTTACAGGGCTTTTTTTCCAGTTTCATGCAAGATAACGTTTATCACAAAAAGAATGTAATAGGTAATGCAAGGTACCACTTAGTTAAAGGACTTTTTTTAAGTAATGAGGCAAGATATAATTAAATTGAATCCTAATAGCATGAAGGGAAAAAACGTACTTAATAACTAACACTAGACGGTGTTCTTCGTGGCTCGATTTTATGCTTGCTTTTATGCAGAATCTCTCATCAATTATTCCTCGGGAAGCAGTTAGTTTTGTTTTCCCTCGAGTCCTGATGTTTCCCTCGACTTCGTCTCGGGAGAACAAAACTAACTGTTTCCCTTGGGATCTGACATTAAGTGTATATTATATCTATAAAAGGTGACCCTTATCCTTTACCGAGCTTTTAAACGTAAACTCATCTTCCACACAAATTCTATTCTTTCTTTCCCATTAATGAATATTATGGTATTTTCTGCGAAGGCCTTTAGGTTTTAAGGTGCAACTTACCATATCAACAAGAGCAATGTAGACAAACAATCCACCAGCAAGAGCATAGATCCACGTGACAGCGGACGTTGTGTAACCTAGCAACAATCCAATGACAAGCCCCAAATAACAAGTGCATGCCGACAAAAAGTTGAAGGCCAATGCGGCTTTATATGACAAACCAGCATTCAGAAGAACTGCAAAGTCACCTGGGGAGCATTTCAAAAACGTTTTGTAAAATCAAAAAACAATTTCCCCATGCAGCTCGCCCTTATCTATATCAGGACAAAAATTTCAGTTGTTTTGTAATAAGCAGTGAAAGTGTAATTATATACCTTAACACTTTGTTGCTCGCAGTTCTTTTGATAACTTTTCTAAATTCCACTATTCACACTCAGTACCAGATAACTTTTCGTGCCGACACAGAAAGCTATCCAGTTTTAAGTGTGAACAGCTATCCGCTATGTGACTCTCCACTTTTCTCACGAGATCGGCGCGGCGCAGCTTCGCTCCGTTACAGAAATCGCGCCCAATTCACTGTTTTTATTTGTGAACAGAAGCCTTATACAGTATGGTTTTCTTGCCGGTGCAAAATCTATCCGGTATAGTATGAACATAGCCTTTCAAAGTTAGTACTTACCAAGTTCATGTGGCAGCTCTTCACAGAATATCGCAAGTGAAGTACTGACACCAATATATCTTGAACTGGAAAATGAAGCACCAATTGCCAACCCATCGATAAAGTTGTGAAGAGCGTCACCAATAATGATCATCCATGCAACAGGAGCAATTTTCTTCTTCTCGTGTGATTTTTTGCTATTTTGCGAAGACGCCTGTGTTTTGTTTAAAAAAACATTACAATTATTACAATTTAATTTACCACCATAAAATCATTTATTCCTCAATATCCCAACAAGTTGTGAACAAAGAGTAATTTCCCTTTCCTAGTAATACAGTCGACAACTTCCACTTTTTTTCCAAATTTTCGAATCTCTATCATGATAATTTGCGCCCAATGTAATTTTAAAAAAAATAAATTTAGATTCTTATGTATTCTTTTCATAAGATGGAAACAATTTCCTGGTACATCACCAGTACTCAAATAAGATTCAGTACTTCCAAATATGCAAAAATTCGTGCACTTGTCTGTTTGATTTGCAAACAATGTAATTTGGAGTTGATGCTAGCGAGACAAGTACACCGCGAATTCAGAGATATGCGTGACAGTTGATTTTGTCGCCCAACGTTAACGAGTTGGGTCACGTGGCTTTATTTTTCAAACCAAAAATGTGAACTCACGTGGTCACTTTCCTGAGCACTTGGGAGGCTGAAGATTGGCCAAGTTCTAAGTCAACCAAAATAGAGAAATTTTTCCTTGCGGATTAAAGTTCTTTCGGTTGCAGCCCTCTACCGCTATATAAACTCTGACCACTCTGATGAGCAAACAACAAAGTCAGCAATAAGAAAAGAATGTGACCACGTGTGAGTTCACCTTTTTGGTCTGACAAACAAATCCACATGACCTAAGTCGTTAACGTCTGGCACCAAAATCAACTGTAACGCGTATTTTTGAATTCGTGGTCTACCTGTTTCGGTAGTACGAGGTAGTACGTTGCCTATTGTTTTGTCTTCTACAGAGCCGTTCCTCAGTGTCTTCACGCAAAACACCCTTCACCACTCTCAAAAACTAGAATTTTTTAGATCTTTTAAAAGCGATCATACCACTTCTAATTACCTAGACTTAACGAGAGGAACAGCTGAGAGAGAAATTGGTAAAACTACGAATAAGTAACCACAAGCTAATGATAGAACTTGGTAGATACAATCAAACTACTAAAGATAATAGGAATTGCCCTGTTTTGTGGATCCAATCAAATAGAAGACGAAATTCACTTTCTTTTCAATTGTTCAAAATGCTCTTTGATTAGGAATAATTTTTACAATAAAGTTAAGATTCTGATTCCAAATATTACCCAGTTACCTGTGAACGTTTTGATCAATGAACTGATGAACACATCTAATTACTATATTAATTTCTAATTCATGAAAAATATTTCTGCTTGCTTTGACTTTCGCGACGAATTATTAACAAATTAGTTTAATTGGCCAGTGATGAAATTTTAGTTCTTATTCTTAAGACATAATTATAAATAGCTTTTGCAATACTGTATGTTCTTGTATGGTCCTGCAAAATAAAGCTTGATGTTAATTGTTGTTGTCACGCAACCCGAAAGGCTGAGTAAAAAACTACAATAGCTATTGTCCACATATTAATGAATTGATGGTTGTTAAAAATAATCATTATATGAAAAGTATGTTAGTTGTTTGTTTGTCTAGGCTTATACCTCATTTGGAAAGCCATTTGGCGTTGACCCATTTCCACAGATCTTCACATCTGGCAAGGAAGCGCCATGATTATGAAGGGCACTATGGTGATCACGGTTCTTTTTATACAGTTGCAGCTGAACATCAGCGATACCTGCTGCGGGTATGTCACCCGTGGTATTGTCCTGATTTGAAAAAAAAAAGGAATACAAATTACCGTAAACTGCCGCATATAAACTGGGAGCCTTGGAGCTTATAACCCTGGGTTTATTGATCTTCGTAAGGGGTTTAATAGGAGGGCTTATAACCGGAATATAAAAGCGCTTCGAAACAAGCTATGGCAGTGTTTATCAAAATACGTCTTACATTTATTCGTTTTTGAGCTTCAAAACGCCATATTAAATCGAATTCATGTCAATACATATGATGGGCCTATATTTGGGGGGGGGGGGGGGGGGGGGCCTTCTAGAGCGTTTTCACTCGAGTGGCCAGCGTCTATGCAAATTTATTGGAAAAAAGAAAGCGTTTACATGAGAAAAGATTTCAACTCCCAGATGTTTTTTCTAGTACACCAACATAGCCGCCGTTTCATTGTTTTGGAACACCAAAATGGCCGCCATGACGTCATGTGAAAACGCTCTATACCTGAGGGAGGTTATAAACAGCAGTTTACAGTATCTCAATAAGTAACAACAATTGACAGGTTAGTATTGGTGCACTGCCAGGTCGACGCAGCAGCAAGAAAGAAAATGGCCTCTTTTTTAACAGTTTCCTAAGCATCTCTTTTATGTGTTATTTTGGAGTGACGCAGGATCTTACCATTAGGAAGAACGGGCCTACTAGACGGTCCCGTCCTAAATAGTATTGCATTTTTAATAAGTCCTACCAAACGACGAGTTTATTTTATTTCCGAATAGTATGTACAGAAGTAATCGGTTCTTGGCGAAAACTTTCAAAAAGCGTTTTCAGGTCCGGCCTGCATGTCCACAAATTAAAGCGGAGCAAGTAAACTGTGTTTGTTATTTTTCTCCGGAAGCTTCACAGTTAGGCGCGCCAAATTTATTTAGTATACTATACTTAAACAGTGAGTAGTGTTTTTCGCGCGCTCTGATTGTCTGCTTAAACTCGGGATATCCAGTGCTATTCACCTCCTGATCCTCCGAGCGAGCGGCGTCAAAATCGAGTAAGTTCATGTACGAGCAAAATGGCTTCCCGAGTTTGCTGCCGTAACAACCTTAACGATTTTTCACGAATAATCAAAAAAGCTGTTTCCAAAACACGAAGAAAGGTGACGAAATTCTGTTTGGAAGTTTTAACAGGTAAGGATTTGTCTGTTTGACCTGAATTTATCGATGAAACCGGTGAAAGAGTGTTTTGTCTACAAATGCAAATTAAGTCTTGCCTTACTTTATTTCTCAAGCAGACATTTTCATAAATAAGCTGAAAACTAAATCTAATAGTTATTTTTTTACAGAATGGTTTTAAATACAAACAGAAGAAATTTCCCCGCAAGAGCTAAACAAATTGAAACGTTTTATTTGTCGGGAAGAAAACGCGTCGACCGTTTGATCAATTCTGCGCCAAAATTTTGATCGTTGGTAGCAGTAAATGGGTCAAAAATCATCATTTTTGTGCTCAATTATCTCACTGTTTTCGCTAAAACAATTACCCGATGGTTAGTGGTGGATATTTATCTCTCGGCTTGCTAAATATCACTGAATATCCACCACTAGGCACCTCCACTTCAGTGAATAATTGTTATACATGTATATTAATTAGCTGGTATTATTGATTCATAGCTATCAGAATATCTTCAAGTGGTGTTGAAAATCTTACTGCAATGTCTTACAACAAGAGAGAATGAGGTACAGCTTACAATCTACTATATATCGTCTTTAATACCTACGAAAAGTAGAGGTTCAACAAATTTGTGCAAGTGACAAATTGCTCATGAGATCACTTACCATTTCGTTTTTATCATGATTATCACATGTGGACTGCTCTTTAAACCTGACAATCATTCTCATGACATATTCCAAGAAAAAGAAGGAGTATATTCCACCGATGATCACAAGGCATTTCCACAAATATCCCAGTTCTCCATCATGAGCATGAAAACCAAATGCCTAACAGAAGGAGTCAGAGGAAGAAAAAATAACTTCAACAATAACTCGATCAAATCCTATTAACATTAAACACTTAATGACTGGTCTTTTTCCCGAGAAACTCAGCTTTGAGATTGTTATATACAGTCATGTAGTTGGAAATTTTGAAGCTGGAAATCCATTTAATCTCGCTATAACGGCGGTCGACGGTCAACATTCGCCGGAACAATGGACTGTTACCCTCTGACGTCATAGATTTTGCAATGTTGACCGCTAGGAGATTTTGGCGGGAAACAGTTTCATTGTTAGATGTCATGTAACAAAGTAACCAATGAGAGCGCGCGCTGTTGGGAAGAAATTTCCTGCTATATAACAATCACTCTTATGTATCTCATTATGCGGATGCCAAGATTGGTTTTTGGTATCCATGGAAATAGGTAATTTTGAAAAATAAGGGAATAGCTCTTCTGCTATGTGTAGTGTAGGAAATAACATTTTTTTTTTCAGGTAGATGTATTTACATTGTTGTTCCTACGCAACGACAAAGAATACTATTGACCGACCATATACAGAGTGGGGGCAGCTGTACTGTCAACTACTAGTAGTAGTCGGACTTCGTAAAGATGCGTAACTATTGTTGAAACAATAGCGTTAGCGAACAAACTTGGAAGTAGCCAGTTGACAAAATAATGAGAATTTTATTCATTGAGTGGAATAACATGACAGGAGTAGAAATCAGCATTTCGACAGTTTGATAATTTTCTTGGAAGTAAATAATGATGTTAGGGCAGATGTTCGTAAAGGGGGTGATTTCGTAAAATCGCTTGAGCAAGTTAATCTTGTAAACAATCTGCGTTCTTTCACGTACTAATTGTAAAAGAGGCCAAAGTCCAACATCTTCACGTGCAAATTGTGTGTATGAGCTATTTTTATAACCCTGCTTACTAGATTATTGTGTAATAACTCGAATTCCCTTACGTACAAACCACGAAAAGGGGCAAAGTCCAACACTTCCGCGTGCCAGCTGTGTGACCGTACAGGCGCGATCCATTCAACCAAAATTTCCGGAAATTTCGGTCCAAAACTCCATAGATCGGTTCGGTCCCACCGGAAAAGTTTCGAAAAAACTGGTGCACATTTTGAGGTGGACCACTTTTCCCGGTCGGACCGGTCTGAGTGTTGGTTGAATGGATCGCGCCCTACATCTCATGTAGATTGGCTGTTCACAGTAATAATTGTAACTTGAACGGATGAGGACCTGTTTAGTGTTGTAACCAATACCTTAAGTATAGGATCTTGTCTATTTTAAAAGAAGCAATAGCTTTTAAAACATGAAAATTTAAGTAGTCAAAGTTAGAGACTGTTGCATTGAGTGTAATCGCACGTGAAAACCTCGTGAATCATGAAGATGCAACCATCTACCACAAGGATAAAAATCGTGATATTTCTTAACTATTCGGTCTTCGATGAGCGACGTTATCTAAAGAAACTCCGAGGAAACCTTCGACTTTCCCTTCGAAGCAGCGTTTTGTGAGTTGATATTCATTGCACTTGAACAATTTGTTTAATTTACACCAGATGTCTGAAGGAAAGATAGAGAAGAGAGAACATATAGCATGAGCACCAACTCAGCTGAGCGTTTCGACTTTTCATTCATGTACAGCATACCCAATTTCGCACAAAAAAGGTAGATTCTTGGTACAGTTACACTGAAGCATTCAAAATAGCTCGTGCACGTTAAACGTGCGTATGTTTCAAGATCTGCATCTGCTAATATTTAGTCACAATTTTTATGTATAAGGCTGCAAATTCTTTTGAAGGTTTTTCACGGGTACCTTATTACATGAAATTTTCGCGACACGTTAATTTCGCGAATCTCGCCATACAAAAAAAAATCGCGAAATTTAAGTGACGCGAACAATAAGTGTCGCGAACATAACATGACGCGAAAATCAAGTGACTCACATTTTGTCCATTATGTCCATAGAGTTTTTTACCACTGAAACGTTTACAAAATCACATTTTTTACTTTTCTGAGGAATTGTCAGTGTAAATGGGTGTTGTGGTCAATTGACTCAAGAACAATAATTCACGTACAAGCATGAAACGTTTTGTGGACATTGCGACTGCTTTGTTGTTACTGGTGACATTTATTCCTTTTGTTGCGTTTCTCTCAATTTTGACGTTATTGTACCTTTGATAAAGTCATTTTATTTACTTCAAAGACGTATTAAACGAAACTGCTTATGAAATGTTAATTGTTGTACTCAAAAACGAGAAATTAAAGTGATTCAAAATATGAAATTTTCGCAAAATCGCGAAATTTACGTGTCGCGAAATATGCGCACATGAAAATCGCGACCTAAACATTTCGCGAAAATTACATGTAACAAGGTATTTCAAAACGTCTTTAAATTGCCAGGAGAAGTCCAATTATTCAATTTGCCCTTTAAACAAAGTACCGGAAATTAATTGTTCATGAGGATACTGTTCCGGTCACGTAGTGAGGAAACTGAAGAGGAAGAATAAAGAGAGAAAGTGATGTTACCTAGAATGTGATTGAATAGGATTTTCAGCTTTAATGATTTCAGATGTCAGTTTCTCAGTTTGTGGGTTACAGCGTGGAGACAGGCGCCTTTGGAGATCTGAAACCTGGGAACGATCTTGTATTTCCCCCTATCCCCCTCCATCCCCACAAAAACACGACCAGCCTCGATGTGCCATAAATGGACCCAGCAGGTACACCTATTTTTTTCTTTTTTTTGATCAGGCTTGTTGTTTAACGAAACAATAGTCCCTTCCAGTGGAGAGAGACGCAAGAAACGTCTGCCAAAAATGGTAAAAAATATCTTGAAAATAGAGTCTGGAAAAACATGGACTGCATTTCACCTTCTGAAAGGTTTGAAAGCCACATTTACCTGAATTATTGGGTAAACCGCACTATAACCACAGGAGATTTACGAAGGGATTTGAAAAAAGAAAAGGTAGCAAAAATAATGTTTTCATTTATTTCATGGAACTTACATGAGGGATGAGATGAATGATTCCACTTCCACTCAACACACCAACAGCAAGAGACACCATAAACAGCAGGAGAATCTTGTAAAATGATTTGTTCATAAACGGCACTATAAAAGCTCCCAGAAGAGATGCAGAGCTGATGATGGTCACAGACAAGAAACCAAATCCCCAAGCTAAAACAGAGAAAACAACAACAAAAAAATCAACAAAAGAAAGCAGTCACCAAAAGCAATTTTAGGATGTAATCAGGGTTTGTAAGAAACATAGTTGAGGTTTTAGCTTAATTAACGCTTAACTCAGTGAACGCTTGTAAAAACATTTGAATGTCTTCACACTGTTCCTCTATTCCTGTGGTTTTGATGAGCAGAACTTGTTATAAAATGACTGAATAGGAGCTCTGTGAATTACTGATAACTTTAAGCTCCGATTTTCATGACATTTATGTTAGACTAAGGATAAAAAAACATAAATGATAATCATAATAATGATCTAGAAATAAATATAATAACAATAATAATTACAGTAATAGTAATAAATGGATACTGACATTGCCGATAATAGTTACAGTTTTAATTTTTATTGACTTGATTATAGTGCGCGCGATGCATTGAGTTTGCTCACAAGTTACATTGGCTATGCTCACAAGGAGAAAACGTAGGAAAAAATAAAGTTTGGTCTCTTTTTTCTGACATATAATTATAGTAAAGAGGATGATAGTTTTACAGTGTCCTCACCTGAGTTATGGATCAAATTGTTTTGATTGCTCTTCGCCAGTCTTCTGGGGCTATGAGGTTCAGTGATGTTTAAAGCAGTGCTGTCTATATCATAGCATTCTGCTGTGGTTGGTGTAGTTAAATTGTCATTGTTCTGGTGAGATGCTGCAGCAGTTTTAATTATTTCCTATATCCTTAATATCTTAATTAACGAGCTCAAATACCTTAGAGAGTCATAAAAGGTACATGTAAGTGCTTACCTTTGGCTTTACTTTCACTTTCATCACCGCTGTCCTCCTTTCCACTTTCACATGATTTACTTTCAATTTGTTGTACTATGGCTGGGCATATCCTTTCAAAAGAAGTTTGGTTCAATCTTTTTGACTCAATGGAGAAGGATTCAAACAGAACTTCGGCAGAGTAACACTGCAACAAAAAGTAGATGAACAAATTATCCCGGCCGTATTTGTGGTAATTTCTAAAAACCTCTTTGTTCAATTACTAGCCTTCTTATTATAGCTTGTTACTGGGTTGTTTCTCTTACAACAAAGATTTTCAATGGCAAACCTAAATATAAAACGAGGCACAGGGGACGTTTGCGTTGTTTTTAACCCAACATCTTCACAAATTCAAATCCGCATTTATTTAGTTTGTTCACAGCAACTACAATAGTGGCTGCACTGCTCGCAGTCGTCTTTCATTTGATCACATCAAATTTGCTTTCTATATTAGGCAGAACATTCTCTGTGAGCTCAAGAAAAAAAAAGAGAAAAGAGTTAGATGAGACCCAAGAGGATGGCCCATAAGGGATTTACAATATTTTCACTAAATATCTTCTACCCAATTTGATGTCTACCGTGTTCGCGGAGTATCACTTATAAAATTCACTTATTTTGATTCTTGTCTTGTTTTTTTGCTTTGATTTTGATATTTTGTCCTTGATTAAAAAGAAAGATATCTTTTGCTTTAGTGTTTCATTTTGATTTTCCAGCTAATCTTTCCAAAATTTATAGCGTTTGATTTCTCAAATGGCGTTTTTGATTTTCAAAATGAGCTAAATATGGACCTTACCCACGTGAAGTGGGTAAGATCCCAAGTGGCTAGTCAGCAATACTCAAGGCCAGGACACTCAGACATATATCACGGCCGAAAAAGACAGAGAGGGTGCTCTATCTGAAAAAGCTGCCTCAACAACCTTCAGAACAGTCGCAGCGCATAGACTGTTAAGCTAAACCAAAAGTATTCATTCCAACAGAGGAACTACAGGACATCGGGCTCCAGACCAAGAAAAGCATAACGGACCGTACCCGAGGGGTGCACTCAAGGAAAGTTTGGGTAAAGTTTTGCCTCCGAGGCCTTCAGACCCAGAACCCCGCTTAAGACAAGAGACCTTATTCTAGGACCCTGATTCGTTTCGCTGACAGAACTAAGTAATTTCTCAACCTAATTAACATCGTGGAGTTGGATTTTTTGGTAAAAAATATTGGTACCACAGACGTAGACAGCTTATATCCAACCTTCACATTCTTGTAAAGGATTCCAGTCCAAGAACCTGAAAACCATGCGCTGCTCAACGGCGCATAACCGTCAAGGCAAAATAAGGGAGTGCATGTCCCCCTTCCGGGAAATACCGAGAGAGCAAAGAATTCTCTATGCAATTTATAAACTACTCTCTCGAAAGAAAAAAAAGTATCAGCTGGAAAATCAAAATGAAACACTAAAACCAAGAATATTTTTCTTTTTAATCAAGGACAATATATCAAAGTAAAAGAAAACAAGACAAGAATCAAAATAGGTGAATTTTGTAAGTGATAGTCCTCGAACACGGTAGACATCAAATCGGCAAGATAATTATTTAGAAGACATTTTTTTTTGGTCTTTTTTTTCTTGACTTCAACAGCGGCTCTTTCAGCTATATTTCAGACAACAAGGCTAGTAAGTATTCGTATAAAGGCCACGGACTACTTTCTTAAAATCTTCAGAAGTCGTTAAGTAGCGTGAATTCGTCAATCTGACCCAATCTCCGTTTTCCAGTTACAGATAAAACATATTTATTGATTCATTTACAATATTTTAGGTTTTTTTTTCTGGTTTTGTTATTAAGGGTGTTCTGGGGGAGGCTAGGTCCGGCAAGCTAGGGGGTTCTTCCGGAGTATTCCGGAGCTGAGGGTGTTCCGGGGATGTCCCAGGGTGTCCCGAGCCTGTTCCTGGTTTTGCAGACAGTCCCTCGGCCAAAGCAATCCCCGTCTTTTTTCGTACGCAGTTTAAGATGGAATCAAACCACCTGAGATGAAACTGCATTTCCAGACCTCATCATTTTCGTTAGATATTAGCCAATTATGTCGATAGCATGTTTCTCCACTGTTTTTATGACCCTTAAAACTTTGTTTCAAAATATTTCCAAAACGCTCTCACAGAATTTGTTCAAACTTTGTCATCATTGATGCAACCAAGGGAGGTACAAGCTTCCTTAAGCGATTTGTGAAAAAACTTCTGGTGCCAAAAAACACAAAAGAAAGTAAAACGTAATGGCGTCATTACGTTGCCATGGCAAACTATGATGTCAATAAAACATGGATCATAGCAAATGTTCATCTTTATATAGTACAGCTGTGGTAACCTTTTACCGATATTTTAATATCGATATGGTAATGCCGACGTAGTAAATGCTCAAAGTGGGGAGTATACTCCCTAAAGAAAACTCAGTGGAACGACCTTTAACGTTGTGCTTCGAGTAACTTAATGTCTTTTTACGAGCTGCTGATTGGCCCACAACCAACTTTCTCCAAATCTATAGTTATTTTCCTGTAATCAGAGCGGTGAACTTTGTCTAAGTGGCCCTGGTTACAGTATTCGCAATGTAAACGTTTTTTTATAACGGTTTTGTCTTTCACATACGCAGTTAACCGTTGCGGAAAGAAATCAAACGTCACTATCACCTAATTGACACCCTCATAGAAATGCACCTGCCTTGACAGGCGCTTTATGAGCCAAGCCAGGAGGGGTGATATTTCGCGCGAAGCGCGAGACGCCGACACAGAGTGTCAGGTGATCCTCGTCTCGCGCTTTGCGCGAAAGGCCCCATTCACCTCGCTTGGCTCGTAAAGCGCCTGCCATGCGGCTCGAAAAATCCTTCTTCGAAATAACTGTTTTATGTCAGGTGGAGGTACAGATTTGTAAAAATAGATTCTCGAAACTAAAATAAATAGGTATTCCTAGTCAAAAACTGTCACGTATGATGGATCCAGACACATATTGAGTTGAGTCTACTAGGAAATTCGAAGTCTCAGCTGGTCTGTAATCTACGCGTCTTAACTCGTTCTACAAAACCGTAGAAGATGTTGTTTGTTTTAAGTGATAAACATTAAGCATAGTCTAAACAGCGAAATGATTACACTAGCCGAACTTAAAAAAAAAATATTAAACACAAGCTTTCATAGAAGCTTTTAGAGATTATAGCTTATCCCCTTTGATTCAAATATGGGTAAATGTTTGCCTAGTCCCTGTCCCGCGTCTTTTCAGGCCTTCTCGGTCAATGCATTTCGGTGACGTATCCGAGACGAACGGCCGGGAAACGCCCAGACAATCTCGGAGTGCGCGTGCGTGAGCATTTTTGAAAAGTTCATACGGTCAACTGAAATAATCTATAAATAACTTTGCCCGTGAGTATCCTTCGCTAAAGATCGGCACTATTGACACTTTTACAAAAATAACTAACCTAGTTCGTGTTACAAAAGAACAAAAATATTACTTCGAATCGGAAAGAATACTACTGTATAACGTGCAAGTAATTTCTCTTTTAGTCCATCTTCAAATGAACCACTAAAATCATAGTCTTTATTGATAAAATGAATTGAAACAGTAGTTTGTTGACATTCTACCAAATTTAGAGACCAAATTCAACAGCCCGTTTTATTAGTTTGATAAGCTTCCAAATCCAAAAATTAAATTACATAAAGTATTTCGAAGTGAAAACGAGAAATTCATAGGAGCAAGGGAAAATAGAGAAACGAAAGATAGCTTGTCATATCCAAGAATAAATATAAACTTATTTCTTAAGCTTACCTTCCGATTCTTGATCAAATAATTTTTTTGCGACGCTGTTTTGCTTAGCCTACAAATAGTTTTTGAGATGAAATAAAAACCAAATCAGTTTAATGAGATAAATGGAAAAGAAAGGCCAAACGACTTTCAACAATGAAAACGTGCATAGAATAAAAATGTTCGTTTCTCTGTACTCTCCATGGCTGCTGGACATCTTTCATCAGCGCGGAAAAGTTATTGACAGCTCGCCCGCTTCCAAACGCTCCGCCCCAAGTCAGACAAAATTTCTCACTTCTCCGAGTTTGTCTAGGCCTCAAAAACTTTCTCGAACCACGTGACCCGAAACGCATCGGCCGCGCATAATGATGAGGCCTAGGGACTAGGCAAGTCACAGTAAAAACTTTGAGAGAAATATTTGAATTTTGCTTTCATCAATGCGTAAAAAAAGATTTTTACAATTGAAAGTACTTTAATACCGTTCCATTGATTCACAGACTCAAAAGTTATAAGATTTTCTCTATATGTAATTGACTCGGAACGCAAAGGGTCAAAGAAAAATTATAAAATGAGCTAGACCGTCCAAACAATCCCATACGGCTTTAGGGGTTAGGATTTGCGAAATATATAAGCTTAATAACGTTATCTTGGCCTGGTCTGGTGTTACGAAGAGCGGTAAACTTAAAACCCTTCAATTTTAGGGTAAAGCTATAAGCTTACTCTTGGCCTGTGAACGTAGACAACTTTCCAGTCACAGAAACCTTTTTGGAGGCTTAACGCAGACGTTACTTTTTTTGGCAGGGGGAAGCGTAAACCCGAAATAAATCTGCATTCGAAGGCCACCAAAAACTTGAGTCTCCCTTTTTTTTTTTGCAGTTAACGTCTCGCCTGGCTACCAAGCCATCATCAAAAACTCTCTTCTTTACTCTTTTGCGCAAAAAATAGCGTCGAAAAAGTTCGAAATGTTTAAGAGCGTTTACCGAAAGCCAGAACTGGCGGGATGGTAAGGTAATTTTGAAAGTCAAACAGGCTTTTTGGGGGATCGAGCTTATGCTGAATACCACCACCCTTACCCCCCCCCCCCCCCCCCCCAGTACAATACAGTATGTTTATTAATTCTCCCAATAGGGTTTTCAAAATCAATTTACATGTACAAGAAAAATAGGAAAAATATAAAAATGTGTAGAAAACTAATGATGTAATAGTGTTTACCCACTGTTGTGCATGTACTGATCTGACTGGGTATTTCTGATCAATAATAGATGCGTTTAGCGAATGGCTCATTAACTGGTCTGACCAACCAGTTGTACCTAATCGTTAATGTTCTTGGTTGGCTTACCTTATCCGATCCCATTTCTTCTTTGTCATGGTGTCCATGTGATGATTCACTTTCACTTTCATGATGACTTTCATGATGTCCGTGGCCTGATTCTGCAGCTTGCATGGATCCAACCTTAAGTTCTTTTAACAGAGCTTCAAACTGCTTCAAGTCCATTGATTTGTCTGTGCCATATTTTTTGAACAAGCTATCAATGAAAGATTGTGCTCCAGGTCCATTTACACTCCGAGCATGGACATGCGAGAAAATACGACAATCTGTCGTGCTGATAAGGGTAATAAAGCAAAGAAGAGAGAAAACTTGCCAAGAGCTCCATGAATCCATTGTAAAGTAGTTTTACGACAAGGAGAAACCCTTTTGACGCCACCTCTGTGATGCAGTTGAGCACGTGTAGTTTTTTGAGCTCTAACAGATGACACGTCCTTCACTAAGGCCTACAGGTGAAAAAGCTGAAGTGTGAGGGCCGTTATTTAAACAAAGTTTCTATTTATAGGCACATTAAAGTGAAATTGTGTCTTTTTAAGTCTCCTCTACATGCTTGCTTAACTAATGTAAAGAACATTTACTTCTTTTGGTTGGTCTGTTTCAAATAAACTAAGACTAATGGTTTTGGCAGCCCCATCTAAACTGCTAAAAGTACGTGACGCATGTTTAAACTAATAGGGATCAAAAGTGTTATGGATAGAAGGAGCACAAGGAATCAAGGACTTTTGTTTCAATCTAGCGTACAATCTGTTTATTCCTAAGGTTAAATCCGTTTATCATGGTCTCACGAAGTATTTTAAAACTGCTTAAGGGTTTAGGTTTGTCTTGCGTTAAGAGTTTCTTTCAATAAAAGGTTGGTTTAAGACTCCAAGGTCCAGCCCATACCGGTAGTTTTAATTAGGTTGTTGTTTTCAAGTCAAGTGATATCGACTTCTTTTCGAAAATATGTAGTTTAGAAGTGGACACTTGGAGAAGACATATGACCATTTTCAAAGCTATATCATAAAGCACTGAAAATGGTCAATTATGTAGTTTCTTGCTTAGGTCGGGTGTTTTGGGGGAAAACAACAAATTGTTTGGGTAGTGGCTAGTCTAACTTTCAATTTTTAATTTCTATTATTTCATTAGTTTTTTAATTGCTAGTCAAAAACACCCTCGGAAATGCGTTGGTGGAAGCGCGCACCTTTTTAGTGAAGAGGAAGTGCAATAAAAGATCTCTTGCTCGGCGGCTATACCAAACATGTCTAAATTGCAGGTCCACAGTTCAGCTATTTGGGTGGCCAAAATTTGGATGAGTTAGTTGAAGTTGAAGACGTTGTAGCAGACAACCATAGAAAAACAACAAGGTTCGGAGGGAGCGAGAGAGGGAGAGGGAAAGACCCCGAATACATTATGTCAAGTCAAGCATGCTGCTCGTAGTTTTTTGGGAAACGACATAGCAAAATTGTTGGCAGTAGTACTTCGGAGTGAGTTTAGACTATAACTTATTCATAGTCTTTAACCGTAGTGGTAGTTTTACCAATATGAACTGTGGAACCGGTTGGTTCCATGACGCAGGTTAATTAAACTTTGCTCTTCAGGAATTTGCCAGTACAAACAGATCGCGTTCTAAAAGTACAACACAACTTGTTAAGGCATCTGCGATGATTGGTATACTGAGAACCTTTCCAGTTCTAAGGCTATTTCGATGCTTTTTTATGTTAAGTCGGCGAGTTTCTAATCAAAGTTTGCAAGTCGGAACAAAACTATGAGTAGTCTCATAATAACTGAAAAATGAGCTGCTGTTACTATGAAATCGCCGCCGAAATAATGGTTGCTCGTTTTCAACCAATCACGGTACTTTGTCCTGGCTAAATCACGAAAAGCACGAAACACGAAAGCAAAGATAGACGCAAGTACCGACGACCAAAACTTCAATCTTTCTCACCTAGAGTGCTATATTTGTGTTGCAAGAAGTCTTGTAACAGTGGCGATTATGATGAGAATAAAACAGCTGTCACGACATAAACGATTTGGAATAGTAACCATTCATTACTTGGACTGCAAGACAGTCGGTTTTTTTCTCAAAATCAGTAAAGAAATCGATGAGGCGTGGCGTAAGAGTCGTATGCGCGCGAAGCGCGCAAGCCTCACACGCCCGTAGCGCGTGTGAGGCGAGCGAAAAAAAAAAAAAAAAACAGCGTTTTTTCATTACTTGAATCCGGCATCTTTACACTGCGAAACAGTCGGTTTTTTTCTGAAAATCAGCAAAGAAATCGGTGAAGCGTGTTGTAAGAGTCGTATGCTCCGTTTTCAGCCTCGTTCCAGACCTTCTGTTTGATTGCTTGCGCGTACTTGAATACGTAAAAATACGGACTGTTTTGCAGTTTAGCCGTCTTGGGAGTGGCTGTCTTCTCGGAAATAGAATAGTACTGGTTTAAATTGTCGCCAAATGGTACGAAAATTGTCTGGGATTTTAGTAAAATTTAGAAAACAAGTAATACCTTGAAAGGTACTACCTATTTTTTCAAAAACCTCCCTTGAGATAAACCGTTCTAATTGAATCCTCCCCGCAATTAGTGGGTTTTCCATATTTTTAAAGAGCACGTGATCAAGGCATGATGGAAAGTGGCGTGACATAAGACGGTGAGAACGTTGCCAGTTTTCACTTTCGTGAATGAACACAACAATGCAAAAATGGACCCTCAGGCTTAACAGCGAAGATTTTCGAAGCTATCACATAAAGAAATACATCTACTGGTAAAGAGAAATGATCTAGAAAACACAAGAAAATGCAACAAAAAATGAAAGGTCTGGTCCCCGAGAAAACGGTTATTTTTGTTTTCCCCTAATCCGACTTTCGAGTAGGGGAAGCATAGGTTCTCTCTGGAAAACAAGACTGTGGAAACAGGGGCTACAGACCTCCCGGCCCCCGTACCTTGAATTCCCAGCTCCCGCTCCTCTTTTCGTGTCTTTTTCTCTTTAGCCCTTTTTCAATTGCAAACTGTAATGAGCATCTAAAAGTAATTTCCCGTTATTCCTCCCACTTTCCACCCGTTGAGAACTCCCACCCGGCTTCCCACCCTTCCCGCCCCGGCCCATTTTCCCGGGTCCCAGCCCCCTGTCCTTCCACATGAAACTAACAGATTCCCTTGAGAACTCGACATTAACTGTAGAATGTTCTGTCAAACTGTCTAATCCATACATAGTTGCCTTTCTTGGTTTTACTTGGTTGATGTGACTGGTATTTCTTTAGTGGAGTCTAAGTTATCATGAATACTTTTCCTTTCACATTAAAGAGTGTATTGTAATGAACTAGAAGTCATCCACTATGAAGTCATCCACTATGCTTTCGGACAAAAGCTTGTCCTCATTAATATAAAGTGCTCTTATTTTTAAGGTTCACAAAAATGCAGCAGTCATCCACTTCAGTATGTTATCTCGAACTGCTTTTATTTTTAATTAGTGTAATTGAAATTTGTTTCTGGAATTTTAACATTAACAGCGTAACCTGTCATTATTTTGTGAATGAACTTGAAAAACAAAAATTTCAAAACAGTTCCAGAACTGATACAGTGCTGATTTCCAAAGGCCGATTTTATAGTTAGTGGGGGGTGACTCATTAAACCGGATTTTCGTAATGAATGCCTTCATGAACCTTCTGAACACAAATGTTCTCAGAGAAATTGGCACCCCAGGACGACCAATGTCGTCTGTTAGTCATTTCACAGGACATTGTAGGTTTGTAATCTGTTGCTCAACACTTGCGGTGGAGGAAATGTGTCGAAGATAGAAGGGTTGGAAAATATGCAAATTTTCACTATTTATCACTATTGACCGTAGTCAAATTTGACCGTCGCGTCAAATTTGCATACTTAACCAGCTGTTTCTCAAACTTTTATTCTCATCCACTGCTTCCCTGAAATACCAAGAAATATGCACAGGGTTCCCCTTTAAATTTATTTTACTGACTGCCAAATGTTAACATCTGCCAGTAGTAGGAATAGATGGAATAAAAAAGCCGTAACAGTTCATTACAACTTACTACTAATACCTATCGTCCTAAGCGACGATTTTCAGACTCTACTAGATACAGATTACGGAAATTTATACAAGGAAATAAGACGCAAACTGTCCTGCATAAACGGCACATTTCTTCTCAAATAAGACGCGACTTAGCTAAGACGCGTCTTATCTAAGAACAGTGTAAAGGACTATGTTAAGATAAGACCCGTCTTAGCTAAGTCGTGTCTTATTAGAGACGAAATATGCCGTTTATACAGGACAGTTTGCGTCTTATTTCCTCGTATAAATGTCCCTATTGTTCCACTTAGGTATACCGTGTGCCCTCAACGTATAATGCTCATGCAAAAGTACCCATATTTCTAGCGTATGTTTTTTCCCCTGGCCGCCCCGTAAGGCTACGTAGCAACTAACTTACGACCCAGTGACTGCTTTCTGTTAGGAGTGACAAAGCTGGTTAAAACTTTGCCACCATGCAGACGTATTTTCTAATGGTAAGCAACAGTGAACTTTGTTTCACTACACTAAAACTCGTAATGACTTAAAAGAGTAAAAATCTAATCTACATGACGAAAATCGACAGTCATTGAAACAATCTAACAGTCGAACAGTAGATGTTAAAATAAATGTAAAGATGATCGCAGCTACTTAAGGACGCAACCTTATGCAGTTGGGAAAAGAAAACCTGAAAAATTCAGTCCTGCTGGGATTCACACTCACACTCACACAATTTATTAACAACTGAAATACATGAAGTCAGTTTCCCCCCGCAAATAGCAGGTGCTAGCCGAGGAGGGAACAAGAGGGCAGAGATACAGGAGTACAGCAGTCAGTGATTCTTGACATCTGTGATACCGGTAAAGCGCTCTAATCAATTATTAACTAAGCTAGCAAACCAACTGGCAGCTAGTCATAAAGTTGGTTCGTAAGATAACCGGGAATGATGAGGATGAAATGATGGATAAATGAAATTTCATTAAGTTAACTCATAGATCGACCGAGCGTCGTTAAACTCCCTCTCCCTCACGATCATAATGAACCGATTAACTCAAGCATCAAAAAAGCGATCTAATGCGCTTGAACAAAATCTTGCCAAATTGAAAAGCACTTAATCCACAAGTATCGAAAATACGCTTTCATAGTGGATCTCTCTATTAACAAAAATAAAAACAAACATAAACGGTTATTGCCTTGGACCCCTCTACAAGTATTTCTTACCTCGACCAGTTCTTTCAGCGAGTACTTTGATAAACTTTAGTCAGCAAAATAGCAGCTCCTTTTTAAAGTGTTAATTGTAGCAATTCTTTTAGCCACGAAACGTCAGTTAACTGTTGTGGTTTGCTTCGTGAAATGAAAGCTGTGTTAATCAGTGGCGAAAAGCTTCAGTAAGCAAGGTGTCACAAGGTCATGCTCACCCCTTACGATACCGTTTTTAGCTGCTCATAACATAGTCACAATATTAGCATCGCGTCTTTTTTATTCAAATGAGCAAGTATTTCATGAATTGTGAACAATTGTATTAACACAATAATATAAAGCTGTCCCACTTCTCAAAATATCCAGATTCCATCGCTATCCTGTTTCGTATTGTTATGGCGATGTTTCTATGATGTTGTGGAAACCATTACTGTATGCATAATAAATTTATGGGGTTATACTGAAATGTTACGAAAGTTTCTATTTTTTTCGATCAGCATACAAAAAGTAGTCCGTGACCACAGTGGTCTCTTTATCTCTTATGCCTTTTCCAGCACTTTATGCTTCGGTGCAATTGAACCATTTAAACAAAGGCTTTTATCAATTTGAAATAATTAAGAAGTGAAAAGAAGCTACTCTTTTGCTGATCGTACTTATACCAACCTGATTGACGACGCTACCCGATAAAGATGAAGACTTCTGACAGTCCTCATTTTTATTAATGTGACCAGTGCTGGAACCAAAAATCAGCTACCGCTTATGTTTTTTTTTTCTATTTCTGTTAACAAAGAAAACCATTGGTGAATATACTTATTATCGATATCTGTGAAAGAGTTTTGAAATCTTTTAAGATTTTGTTCAAATTGCCCTCTTGACCTCTTTCGAGGCTTCGAATTCCGCATGATTTCCAGATTATAACGTGAACTCGTTTGCAACAGAACGTGTTTATTTATTGACCGAAACGACTTTCAAAAAATATAAAACACAGTGTTACAGATATTTTGACCCAAAGACAATCAAGTAGATGACATTCCAGAACGTAACGGATGAAGCGAGAGCATGATATAATCTCATATGTTCGTCCTAGTATAATTGAATTCACGTAAATTAAAAGGCTATTTTCCCTTTATGTTGTACTTTGGTGTCATAAAAACGTTTTTTAAGAATGTTTCTCTCTTTTCAAGAAAGTTTTTGTTTTGCTCATTTGACTGAAAAAAACAAAAAACCTTTTGTTAATTATGTTATGAGACGCCGTCAATGCGTATCTTACGCTATGCAGGGCATACCTACTTGACACCTCGTTTCGTCGGTGTAATTCAAGCGTTTCACAATTAAAACAGTTCCGTTTCAGGAAGCAAACAACAAGAAGTGGTTCCGAGGCCAAAAGAATTATAATAATTTTCACTTCAAAAGGAACTCCCTTTTGCTGATATATGCAAAAAATATGAGGATGATTATACCTAGAAAAATGCCCTTTTGACCAAGTGAGCTTGCCAACAAAAAAACATGCATGCATACGAGAATCATGAGAGACATTTCACTGATATTTAACGAATTTAGAGTTCCTCCTTTGTGATTGATGTGTAATTTATACCCGGATTTTTGAAAACCAGGTGAGCAAAAAAATCAGCTTATTCTACGACTTGGCAATTTAAAACAATAAAACATCATTCAAAGGCCGATTAAAAGCCTTAATCTGAAACCGGGCAGTAAGTTAGTGGTTACTAGACGGCATTCCAATGAGTCCAAATTTAAAATGACGCAAATTTTAGAACATTTATTCGGTAATCTGACTCCGTGAAGTTTCAAACTGGTTTCATTTCAGTCTGACGTAGAAATTTTAAAGTTGAGTGAACTGCAGCGAAAAGGTGCGTGGTTAAAGCTTACAAAACAACTTAAATAGTTTGCAAATCAGTCCGTTTTTTCGCGATCCGATAAACGACAGGGTTTCGCATGGAATAGACAACAAACTGCATGAAACATAGAACACAAATTATCACCTTCTTATCTGCAAAAACCGGCCTTTTGGTTCAAAGCCGTTAGAGCCCGCTGAAACCTGAGGACCCAGATCCAATTTTCCTGAATCGAGAGTAACTTTTCCAAGGCATAATCAGCAAACCTAAACACCAAAGAAATGTTTTTATTGCTGGCACATAATATTTTGGCGAAATAGCTCCACCACGCGACCACATACCTGCAACACCATGCGGAAATCACAGAATCACACAAGTTCGCGGCACTGATAAGACAATCAACAACCACGCATAATCTTCTGACGTTTAACACAAGCGAAATATCATCGAATAACTCGGAAAAAACTCAGCCTATTGGCAGATACACTCCTCCGAACTTTTCTCTTGCAGCTCAAGTCTTGGCCTGGGTCAAGGTTCACCTGCAATGTTGCTCTCGCCTAATTCATTTGCCTCCTAAGAGCCTGTTCCCGAGGCCAAACACTTAGTGGTAACCTTAGAAAAACGAATCGTACCTTTCTGTCTCAGCCCGGATCAGCGTGATTGATCCGTTAAGCCAAATGAAACAAGAATCAGAAGAATACAAGATGATATTGGACGATGCAGACTCTGCGAATCGTAATAACTTTGTCCCATCTCCGAGCTTTACATGATGCTCTCCGAGAAACTTTTCTCAAGGTGACCAATAACGAAATATTAACTTCTAAACGGCACCGAAGTCAGCTTAAGGCGCTGTGGTGCTTAAGGAGAACTGAAGGGGGGGGGTAGATAGAATATCGCGAAATTCTGTCTGTTTTCAGGAAATTTAGAGTATATAAATGGAAGCTTCGCTTTTAGGCTTGGCTAAACCTACATATTAATATTACATTGAATTCCAACCACATAAAGAAAAAAATTTTTTATTGGGTCAATTTTACCTTGTTCTAGGTATCCCGGCAGGAGGTATTGTTAATCAATCATATTCCAGACTGATCCTCTTTAGCCCAAGTCGTTAAGTCAAGTCAAATTTTATCCAAAATTATAAAAATATTGACAGAAGGATTAGGATAATACTAGGTTACCATGCGCATTATAGTGTAGATATAGTTTTGTTAAAAAAATGATAGAAAGAAAAGAAAAATAAATAAAGTAAATTAATCAACAAATTGCCTCTTTTACGACAAAAAAAATCACAGAAAAAGACAATAAGAACAATAGTTTAAACAAATTGTTAATTGCCTATTAAAATAGGGACCGATTATTAAACAGTTTACTTTAAACTATTTTACTTTTCAATACAGTGGAACCCCGTTGATACGATCACCAATGGGCCCAAAAACATTGGCCGTATTAACGGGGTGACTGCATTATCGGGGTAGGCTCAAATTTCATGACTCGAGGGCCGTAATGACAAACACACCAGGAATACACCGTGCATCGCATTCACCGTACTGTTCTCATTAATAAACTACAGGAATGTAGATATCGCGTACAGTAATTGAAAAAACTTCTTAAAATTTTCCTCCAGTACATGAAACAAACTCATTATAAATCGCCAGAAGTGCATTTTAAGTGTACTGTAGTCTAAAAACAGGACAAGAATAAGCTTAGACTAGGATACTAGATCAATAAAATTGACATGTCACAGGCATCTTAATTTTCTTAATTTCGATCGAGTGGCAGCATTAACGGGGTGAAATTATAAGGGATTCTACTGTCTGGGATTTTAAAATGTGGTTTTTGGCCGTATTAACGGGTGACCGCTCCTAACGTTTTTTTATAAAGAATTTGCCGGGCCGAGAAAAACTGGCCGTAATCACGAGGTGACCAGAAACGGCCTATGGGGTGTACTCCTTTGTATGGCCTATAAGGTCATATAGGGTATGTTTTTTGTCCTCTTTGTCCTAAACAGGGTGTACAATTTCGCGCCATTCTGTCCTAAAAAGGATATTCAATTTCGTGCGAGTCTTTCCTGATTATAAACAGGGTATTGCTTGCACGATTGATTTAATTTGCTTAATGAAATTTGTTTGTATTCCAAGTATACAAAAACGTGGATTTGCTCTATGGCAATTGCCAACAACTGGCTGTAAAACAACACGGCGTGCATTTTGTCCTTTGTCCTAAACAGACTATGTATCTTAGGAATTTTTTTGTCCTTAACAGGGTCATTGAAATCCTCAGCGACTCACCTATACCCAAACGCATGTGCTTTCCTGTGCAATCTTTTCAGCATAAATTTAAAGTTATAAAACGGGCTTAAAAACGTGAAACGTCAACGCTATAACACAACAATTGCAATTTGAATTTTAAAATTGTTACTGATCTTTGAGAATGCTCTACTTAACTGAAATTGTCTCTCCGTAGAGAGCTAAAATAAGCATAATAGCAAAGCCAAGCAGTATGCCAAAATTCTGAAGAGCAAAGGCCTTGATGTTTCGGCGAATGGAACGTTCTCCGATTTTAGCTGACATTTCACAAGCTTCCGGTAACTGCATTAAAACAAACAGGAAATAAATGTTAGAAGCGGATAAAGTTTGATAATTTAAGAAAATGATCCCAAAGCAGTGATAACGTAGCGTGCTAAACAGCTGTCTGTCATTGCTCGTCGCTGACAGGGATGTTTTGTGAGAGAAGCGTTTGCATTTTGTCCTCAAAAATTCTATGCTGATGGGATAAACCTGTCCAGAATCTGGTCAGGAGCTTTGATTTTACTCTTTCATGCCCAGATTTTATTTACGACCATTACCGACGTGGGAGAGAGGCTGTGCACATTAGATGGAATTATTCTTGAAAACCTATATTTACAGGTTTTTTCCAGTTTCATGCAAGATAACTTTTATCACAAATAGAATTTGTATAGGCAATTCAAGGTACCTCTTAGTTAAAGGAATTTTTTCAAGTAATGAGGCAAGATATAATTAAATTGAATCCTAATAGCATGAAGGAAAAAGCATACTTAATGACGAAAACTAGACGGTGTTCTTCCTGGCTCGATTTTATGCTTGGTTTTATACAGAATCTCTCATCAATTATTCCTCGGGAAGCAGTTAGTTTTGTTTTTCCTCGAGTCCTGATGTTTCCCGAGACGAACAAAACTAACTGTTTCCCTTGGGATCTGACATTAAGTGTATATTATATCTATAAAAGGTGACCCTTATCCTTTACCGAGCTTTTAAACGTAAACTCATCTTCCATACAAATTATATTCTTTCTTTCCCATTAATGAATATTATGGTATTTTCTGCGAAGGCCTTTAGGTTTTAAGGTGCAACTTACCATATCAACAAGAGCAATGTAGACAAACAATCCACCAGCAAGAGCATAGATCCACGTGACAGCGGACGTTGTGTAACCTAGCAACAATCCAATGACAAGCCCCAAATAACAAGTGCATGCCGACAAAAAGTTGAAGGCCAATGCGGCTTTATATGACAAACCAGCATTCAGAAGAACTGCAAAGTCACCTGGGGAGCATTTCAAAAACGTTTTGTAAAATCAAAAAAAAAATTCTCAATGCAGCTCGCCCTTATCTATATCAGGACAAAAATTTCAGTTGTTTTGGAATAAGCAGTGAAAGTGTAATTATATACCTTAACACTTTGTTGCTCGCAGTTCTTTTGATAACTTTTCTAAATTCCACTATTCACACTGAGTACCAGATAACTTTTCGTGCCGACACAGAAAGCTATCCAGTTTTAAGTGTGAACACCTATCCGCTATGTGACTCTCCACTTTTCTCACGAGATCGGCGCGGCGCAGCTTCGCTCCGTTACAGAAATCGCGCCCAAATCACCGTTTTTATGTGTGAACAGAAGCCTTATCCGGAATGGTTTTCTTGCCGGCGCAAAATCTATCCGGTATAGTATGAACATAGCCTTTCAAAGTTAGTACTTACCAAGTTCATGTGGCAGCTCTTCACAGAATATCGCAAGTGAAGTACTGACACCAATATATCTTGAACTGGAAAATGAAGCACCAATTGCCAACCCATCGATAAAGTTGTGAAGAGCGTCACCAATAATGATCATCCATGCAACAGGAGCAATTTTCTTCTTCTTGTGTGATTTTTTGCTATTTTGAGAAGACGCCTGTGTTTTGTTTAAAAAACATTACAATTATTACAATTTAATTTACCATCATAAAATCATTTATTCCTCAATCTCCCAACAATTTGCGAACAAAGAGTAATTTCCCTTTCCTGGTAGTACAGTCGTATTTTCAACTTCCACTTTTTTCCCAAATTTTCGAATCTCTATCTTGATAACTTGCACCCAATGTAATTTTAAAAAAATAAATTTAGATTCTTATGTATTCTTTTCGTAAGATGGAAACGATTTCCTGGTACATCACTAGTACTCAAATAAGACTTAGTACTTCCAAATATGCAAAAATTCGTGCACTTGACTGTTTGATTTGCAAACAATGTAATTTGGAGTTGATACTACCGAAACAAGTACACCGGGAATTCAGAGATATGCGTGACAGTTGATTTTGTCGCCAAACGTTAACGACTTGGGTCACGTGGCTTTGTTTTTCAAACCAAAAATGTGAACTCACGTGGTCACTTTCCTGAGCACTTGGGAGGCTAAAGATAGGCCAAGTTCTAAGTCAACCAAAATGGAGAAATTTTCGCTTGCGGATGAAAGTTCTTTCGGTTGCAGCCCTCTACCGCTATATAAACTCTGACCACTCTGATGAGCAAACAACAAAGTCAGCAATAAGAAAAGAATGTGACCACGTGTGAGTTCACCTTTTTGGTCTGACAAACAAATCCACATGACCTAAGTCGTTAACGTCTGGCACCAAAATCAACTGTAACGCGTATTTTTGAATTCGTGGTCTACCTGTTTCGGTAGTACGAGGTAGTACGTTGCCTATTGTTTTGTCTTCTACAGAGCCGTTCCTCAGTGTCTTCACGCAAAACACCCTTCACCTCTCTCAAAAACTAGAATTTTTTAGATCTTTTAAAAGCGATCATACCACTTCTAATTACCTAGACTTAACGAGAGGAACAGCTGAGAGAGAAATTGGTAAAACTACGAATAAGTAACCACATGCTAATGATAGAACTTGGTGGATATAATCAAACTACTAGAGATAATAGGAATTGCCCTTTTTGTGGATCCAATCAAATAGAAGACGAAATTCACTTTCTTTTCCATTGTTCAAAATGCTCTTTGATTAGCAATAATTTTTACAATAAAGTTAAGATTCTGATTCCAAATATTACCCAGTTACCTGTGAACGTTTTGATCAATGAACTGATGAACGCATCTAATTACCATATTAATTTATAATTCATGAAAAATATTTCTGCTTGCTTTGACTTTCGCGACGAATTATTAACAAATTAGTTTAATTGACCAGTGATGAAATTTTAGTTCTTATTCTTAAGACATAATTATAAATAGCTTTTGCAATACTGTATGTTCTTGTATGGTCCTGCAAAATAAAGCTTGATGTTAATTGTTGTTGTCACGCAACCCGAAAGGCTGAGTAAAAAACTACAATAGCTATTGTCCACATATTAATGAATTGATGGTTGTTAAAAATAATCATTATATGAAAAGTATGTTAGTTGTTTGTTTGTCTAGGCTTATACCTCATTTGGAAAGCCATTTGGCGTTGACCCATTTCCACAGATCTTCACATCTGGCAAGGAAGCGCCATGATTATGAAGGGCACTATGGTGATCACGGTTCTTTTTATACAGTTGCAGCTGAACATCAGCGATACCTGCTGCGGGTATGTCACCCGTGGTATTGTCCTGATTTGAAAAAAAAAGGAATACAAACTACCGTAAACTGCCGCATATAAACTGGGAGCCTTGGAGCTTATAACCCTGGGTTTATTGATCTTCGTAAGGGGTTTAATAGGAGGGCTTATAACCGGAATATAAAAGCGCTTCGAAACAAGCTATGGCAGTGTTTATCAAAATACGTCTTACATTTATTCGTTTTTGAGCTTCAAAACGCCATATTAAATCGAATTCATGTCAATACATATGATGGGCCTATATTTGGGGGTGGGGGTGGGGCCTTCTAGAGCGTTTTCACTCGAGTGGCCAGCGTCTATGCAAATTTATTGGAAAAAAGAAAGCGTTTACATGAGAAAAGATTTCAACTCCCAGATGTTTTTTCTAGTACACCAACATAGCCGCCGTTTCATTGTTTTGGAACACCAAAATGGCCGCCATGACGTCATGTGAAAACGCTCTATACCTGAGGGAGGTTATAAACAGCAGTTTACAGTATCTCAATAAGTAACAACAATTGACAGGTTAGTATTGGTGCACTGCCAGGTCGACGCAGCAGCAAGAAAGAAAATGGCCTCTTTTTTAACAGTTTCCTAAGCATCTCTTTTATGTGTTATTTTGGAGTGACGCAGGATCTTACCATTAGGAAGAACGGGCCTGCTAGACGGTCCCGTCCTAAATAGTGTTGCATTTTTAATAAGTCCTACCAAACGACGAGTTTATTTTATTTTATTTTATTTTATTATTTTATTTTATTTTATTATTTTATTTATGTACAGAAGTAATCGGTTCTTGGCGAAAACTTTCAAAAAGCGTTTTCAGGTCCGGCCTGCATGTCCACAAATTAAAGCGGAGCAAGTAAACTGTGTTTGTTATTTTTCTCCGGAAGCTTCACAGTTAGGCGCGCCAAATTTATTTAGTATACTATACTTAAACAGTGAGAAGTGTTTTTCGCGCGCTCTGATTGTCTGCTTAAACTCGGGATATCCAGTGCTATTCACCTCCTGATCCTCCGAGCGAGCGGCGTCAAAATCGCGTAAGTTCATGTACGAGCAAAATGGCTTCCCGAGTTTGCTGCCGTAACAACCTTAACGATTTTTCACGAATAATCAAAAAAGCTGATTCCAAAACACGAAGAAAGGTGACGAAATTCTGTTTGGAAGTTTTAACAGGTAAGGATTTGTCTGTTTGACTTGAATTTATCGATGAAACCGGTGAAAGAGTGCTTTGTCTACAAATGCAAATTAAGTCTTGCCTTACTTCATTTCTCAAGCAGACATTTTCATAAATAAGCTGAAAACTAAATCTAATAGTTATTTTTGTACAGAATGGTTTTAAATACAAACAGAAGAAATTTCCCCGCAAGAGCTAAACAAATTGAAACGTTTTATTTGTCGGGAAGAAAACGCGTCGACCGTTTGATCAATTCTGCGCCAAAATTTTGATCGTTGGTAGCAGTAAATGGGTCAAAAATCATCATTTTTGTGCTCAATTATCTCACTGTTTTCGCTAAAACAATTAGCCGGTGGTTAGTGGTGGATATTTATCTCTCGGCTCGGTAAATATCACTGAATATCCACCACTAGGCACCTCCACTTCAGTGAATAATTGTTATACATGTATATTAATTAGATAGTATTATTGATTCATAGCTATCAGAATATCTTCAAGTGGTGTTGAAAATCTTACTGCAATGTCTTACAACAAGAGAGAATGAGGTACAGCTTACAATCTACTATCGTCTTTAATACCTACGAAAAGTAGAGGTTCAACAAATTTGTGCTAGTGACAAATTGCTCATGAGATCACTTACCATTTCGTTTTCATCATGATTATCACATGTTGACTGCTCTTTAAACCTGACAATCATTCTCATGACATATTCCAAGAAAAAGAAGGAGTATATTCCACCGATGATCACAAGGCATTTCCACAAATATCCCAGTTCTCCATCATGAGCATGAAAACCAAATGCCTAACAGAAGGAGTCAGAGGAAGAAAAAATAACTTCAACAATAACTCGATCAAATGCTATTAATATTAAACACTTAATGACTGGTCTTTTTCCCGAGAAACTCAGCTTTGAGATTGTTATATACAGTCATGTAGTTGGAAATTTTGAAGCTGGAAATCCATTTAATCTCGCTATAACGGCGGTCGACGGTCAACATTCGCCGGAACAATGGACTGTTACCCTCTGACGTCATAGATTTTGCAATGTTGACCGCTAGGAGATTTTGGCGGGAAACAGTTTCATTATTAGATGTCATGTAACAAAGTAACCAATGAGAGCGCGCGCTGTTGGGAAGAAATTTCCAGCTATATAACAATCACTCTTATGTATCTCATTATGCAGATGCCAAGATTGGTTTTTGGTATTCATGGAAATAGGTAATTTTGAAAAATAAGGGAATAGCTCTTCTGCTATGTGTAGTGTAGGAAATAACATTTTTTTTTTCAGGTAGATGTATTTACATTGTTGTTCCTACGCAACGACAAAGAATACTATTGACCGACCATATACAGAGTGGGGGCAGCTGTACTGTCAACTACTAGTAGTAGTCGGACTTCGTAAAGATGCGTAACTATTGTTGAAACAATAGCGTTAGCGAACAAACTTGGAAGTAGCCAGTTGACAAAATAATGAGAATTTTATTCATTGAGTGGAATAACATGACAGGAGTAGAAATCAGCATTTCGACAGTTTGATAATTTTCTTGGAAGTAAATAATGATTTTAGGGCAGCAATCTTAACATGAAATGATATATAATTTTATTGCAGATGTTCGAAAAGGGGGTGATTTCGTAAAATCGCTTGAGCAAGTTAATCTTGTAAACAATCTGCGTTCTTTCACGTACTAATTGTAAAAGAGGCCAAAGTCCAACATCTTCACGTGCAAATTGTGTGTATGAGCTATTTTTATAACCCTGCTTACTAGATTATTGAGTAATAACTCGAATTCCCTTACGTACCAACCACGAAAAGGGGCAAAGTCCAACACTTCCACGTGCCAGCTGTGTGACGGTACGGGCGCGATCCATTCGACCAAAATTTCCGGAAATTTCGGTCCAAAACTCCATAGATCGGTTCGGTCCCACCGGAAAAGTTTCGAAAAAACTGGTGCACATTTTGAGGTGGACCACTTTTCCCGGTCGGACCGGTCTGAATGTTGGTTGAATGGATCGCGCCCTACATCTCATGTAGATTGGCTGTTCACAGTAATAATTGTAACTTGAACGGATGAAGACCTGTTTAGTGTTGTAACCAATACTGACCAAGACTGTTGCATTGAGTGTAATCGCACGTGAAAACCTCGTGAATCATGAAGATGCAACCAGCTACCACAAGGATAAAAATCGTGATATTTCTTAACTATTCGGTCTTCGATGAGCGACGTTGTCTAAAGAAACTCCGAGGAAACCTTCGACTTTCCCTTCGAAGCAGCGTTTTGTGAGTTGATATTCATTGCACTTGAACAATTTGTTTAATTTACACCAGATGTCTGAAGGAAAGATAGAGAAGAGGGAACATATAGCATGAGCACCAACTCAGCTGAGCGTTTCGACTTTTCATTCATGTACAGCATACCCAATTTCGCACAAAAAAGGTAGATTCTTGGTACAGTTACACTGAAGCATTCAAAATAGCTCGTGCACGTTAAACGTGCGTATGTTTCAAGATCTGCATCTGCTAATATTTAGTCACAATTTTTATGTATAAGGCTGCAAATTCTTTTGAAGGTTTTTCACGGGTACCTTATTACATGAAATTTTCGCGACACGTTAATTTCGCGAATCTCGCCATACAAAAAAAAATCGCGAAATTTAAGTGACGCGAACAATAAGTGTCGCGAACATAACATGACGCGAAAATCAAGTGACTCACATTATGTCCATTATGTCGATAGAGTTTTTTACCACTGAAACGTTTACAAAATCACATTTTTTACTTTTCTGAGGAATTGTCAGTGTAAATGGGTGTGGTGGTCAATTGACTCAAGAACAATAATTCACGTACAAGCATGAAACGTTTTGTGGACATTGCGACTGCTTTGTTGTTACTGGTGACATTTATTCCTTTTGTTGCGTTTCTCTTAATTTTGACGTTATTGTACCTTTGATAAAGTCATTTTATTTACTTCAAAGACGTATTAAACGAAACTGCTTATGAAATGTTAATTGTTGTACTCAAAAACGAGAAATTAAAGTGATTCAAAATATGAAATTTTCGCAAAATCGCGAAATTTACGTGTCGCGAAATATGCGCACATGAAAATCGCGACCTAAATATGTCGCGAAAATTGCATGTAACAAGCTATTTCAAAACGTCTTTAAATTGCCAGGAGAAGTCCAATTATTCAATTTGTCCTTTAAACAAAGTACCGGAAATTAATTGAGGATACTGTTCCGGTCACGTAGTGAGGAAACTGAAGAGGAAGAATAAAGAGAGAAAGTGATGTTATCTAGAATGTGGTTGAATAGGATTTTCAGCTTTAATGATTTCAGATGTCAGTTTCTCAGTTTGTGGATTACAGCGTGGAGACAGGCGCCTTTGGAGATCTGAAACCTGGGAACGATCTTGTATTTCCCCCTATCCCCCTCCATCCCCACAAAAACACAACCAGCCTCGATGTGCCATAAATGGACCCAGCAGGTACACCTATTTTTTTCTTTTTTTTGATCAGGTTTGTTGTTTAACGAAACAATAGTCCCTTCCAGTGGAGAGAGACGCAAGAAACGTCTGCCAAAAATGGTAAAAAATATCTTGAAAATAGAGTCTGGAAAAACATGGACTGCATTTCACCTTCTGAAAGGTTTGAAAGCTACATTTACCTGAATGATTGGGTAAAGCGCACCATAACCACAGGAGATTTACGAAGAGATTTGAAAAAAGAAAAGGTAGCAAAAATAATGTTTTCATTTATTTCAAGGAACTTACATGAGGGATGAGATGAATGATTCCACTACCACTCAACACACCAACAGCAAGAGACACCATAAACAGCAGGAGAATCTTGTAAAATGATTTGTTCATAAACGGCACTATAAAAGCTCCCAGTAGAGATGCAGAGCTGATGATGGTCACAGACAAGAAACCAAATCCCCAAGCTAAAACAGGAAAAAAAAAAAGCATCAACAAAAGAAAGCAGTCACCAAAAGCAATTTAAGGATGTAATCAGGGTTTGTTAGAAACAGAGTTGAGGTTTTAGCTTGATTAATGTTTAACCCAGTGAACGCTTGTATAAACATTTGAATGTCTTCACACTGTTCCTTTATTCCTGTGGTTTTCATGAGCAGAACTTGTAAGTTATAAAATGACTGAATATGACCTATGTGAATTACTGAAAACTTTAAGCTCCGATTCTCATTACATTTATGTTAGACTAAGGATAAAAATGTAAATTATAATCATAATAATGATCTAGAAATAAATATAATAATAATAACAATAATTTCAGTAATAATAATAAATGGATACTGACATTGCCGATAATAGTTACAGTTTTTTATTGACTTGATTATAGTGCGCGGTATGCATTGAGTTTGCTCACAAGTTACATTGGCTAAGGTCACAAGGAAAAAAGGTAGGAAAAAAGAAATTTTGGTCTCTTTTTTCTGACATTTATAGTAAAGAGAATGCCGGATAGTTTTACAGTGTCCTCACCTGAGTTGTGGATCAAATTGTTTTTATTGCTCTCCGCCAGTCTTCTCCGGCGGGTTATGGGGTTCAGTGACAATTAAACTACACCAATCACAGCAGAATGACACTGCTTTAAAAAGCAGTGCTGTCTATATCATAGCATTCTGCTGTGGTTGGTGTAGTTTAATTGTCATTTTTCTGGTGAGATGCTGCAGCAGTTTTAATTATTTCCAATAATTAACGAGCTCAAATACCTTAGCGAGTTATTTAAGGTACATGTAAGTGCTTACCTTTGGCTTTACTTTCACTTTCATCACCGCTGTCCTCCTTTCCACTTTCACATGATTTACTTTCAATTTGTTGTACTATTGCTGGGCATATCCTTTCAAAAGAAGTTTGGTTCAACCTGTTTGACTCAATGGAGAAGGAGTCAAACAGAACTTCGGCAGAGTAACACTGCAACAAAAATTAGATGAACAAATTATCCCGGCTGTATTTGTGGTAATTTCTAAAACCTCTTTGTTCAATTGCTAGTCTTCTTATTATAGCTTGTTACAGGGTTGTTTCTGTTATAACAAAAGATTTTCAAGGGCAAAACTAAAAATAAAACGCGGTACAGGGGAAGTTTGCGTTGTTTTTAACTCAACATCTTCACAAACGCAAATCCCCATTAGTTTGTTCAAAGCAACCACAATAGTAGCTGCACTGCTCGTAGTCGTCTTTCATTTGATCACGTCATATTTTCTTTCTATATTAGGCAGGCATTGTGTTTGTGAGCTCAAGAAAAAAGAAAGAAAAGAGTTAAATGAGACCCAAGCGGATGGCCCATAAGGGATTTACAATATTTCCACTAAATATCTTCTACCCAATTTGATGTCTACCGCGTTCGAGGAGTGTCACTTATAAAATTCACTTATTTTGATTCTTGTCTTTTTTTCTTGCTTTGATTTTGATATTTTGTCTTTGATTAAAAAGAAAGATATTTTTTGTTTTAGTGTTTTATTTTGATTTTCCAGCTAATCTTTCCAAAATTTATCGCGTTTGATTTCTCAAATGCAGTTTTTGATTTTCAAAATGAGATAAATATGGATCTTAACCACGTGACAGCTTCACTAGTGGCTAGTCAGCAACACTCAAGGCCAGGACACTCAGACATATATCACGGCCGAACAAGACAGAGAGGGTGCTCTATCTGAGGAAGCTGTCTCAACAACTTTCAGAACAGTCGCTTAGACTGTTAAGCTAAACCAAAAGTATTCATTCCAACGGATGAACTACAGGACATCGCGCTCCAGACCAAGAAAAGCATAACGGACCGTACCGGGTACACTCAAGGAGAGTTTGGGTAAAGTTTTGGCGCTGAGGCGTTCAGACCCAGACCCTGCTTAAGACAAGAGACCTTATTTTAGGACCCTGACCCTGACAGAACTAATTAATTTCTCAACCTAATTAACATCGTGGAGTTGGATTTTTTGGTAAAAAATTGATGGTACCACAGACGTAGACAGCTTATATCCAACCTTCACATTCTTGTAAAGGATTCCAGTCCAAGACCCTGAAAACCATGCGCTGCTCAAGGGCACATAATCGTCAAGGCAAAATAAGAGAGTGCATGTCCCCCTTCCGGGAAATACCGAGAGAGCAAAGAAATCTCCATGCAATTTATAAACTACTCTCTCGAAAGAGAAAAAAAGTATCAGCTGGAAAGTCAAAATGGTACACTAAAACCAAGAATATTTTTCATTTTAATCAAGGACAATATATCAAAGTAAAAGAAAACAAGACAAGAATCAAAATAGCTGAATTTTGTAAGTGAAAGTCCTCCAACACGGTAGACATCAAATCGGCAAGATAGTTATTTAGAAGATATTTTATTTTTGGTCTTTTTTTTTCTTGTCTTCAGCAGCGGCTCTTTCAGCTATATTTCAGACAACAAGGCTAGTAAGTATTCGTATAAAGGCAACGGACTACTTTCTTAAAATCTTCAGAAGTCGTTAAGTAGCGTGAATTCGTCAATCTGACCAATCTCCGTTTTCCAGTTACAGATAAAACATATTTATTGATTCATTTACGATATTTTAGGTTTTTTCTGGTTTTGTTATTAAGGGTGTTCCGGGGGAGGTCCAGCCAGCTAGGGGGTTCTTCCGGAGTATTCCGGAGTGTCCTGAGGGTGTTCCGGGGATGTCTCAGGGTGTTCCGAGCCTGTTCCTGGTTTTGCAGACACCCTCATACACACGTGCACAACTTTAGCAAAAAACTAATTTGCATTGAAAAGGACTGACCCTCGATTTCTTTCGCAAGAAATCTCCGAAATATGCTAATGCAACAGAAATGGTGAAGACAGTGTCTGTAGCGTCACTTTTTCATCATGTGGAACGCAGAAGTAAATCGCTATGCAATAGATTTTGCATTTATGTTTCCGTTCTGCAATACAAGTTATCATTCACCTTATTTTCATTAGTACGAAGACTCCTCAATATGACCGGGAAGTAATTGAAGGGTCCTTTTGATTGCAAAATAGTTTTTTTGCTCAAGTTGTGCACGTGAATATGAAACTTGAAAACAATGTCAGTGAATAATGAGGACGCTCACTTGAAAACACAAAACCTGAGGGAAAAATTTTGTGACATTTGAAGCCTCCTTGCCTTCCTTGTTTTCAATGTCCTTGAAACCTTGAGGCCCTCAAGGTACATGTAAATTGAAGATTAATCTCGGGATTGTCAAGTTTTTTAAAAAAACTATTAAGCGATTTTTAAATTACCGTGAAATTTGTAGGCGTGAACCAAATTAGATACAAAATTGGTAAAGAAAGAAGCCGAACGTAGGCTAATTCTTCCTTCTCGCAATCGGTCGAAGCAATCCCTCTCTTTTTTGGTGCGCATTTTCAGATAGAATCAAACCACTATGAGATGAAACTGCATTTCCAGACCTCATCATTTTCTTTAGATATTAGTCAATTATGTCGATAGCATGTTTCTCCACTGTTTTTATGACCCTTAGATTTTTGTTTCAAAATATTTCTAAAACGCTCTCACAGAATTTGTTCAAACTTTGCCATCATTGATGCAACCAAGGGAGGTACAAGCTCCCTTAAGATGAGCGATTTCTGAAAAAACGTCTGGTGCCAAAAAATGCAAAGGAAAGTAAAAAACGCAATGGCGTCATTACGTTGCCATGGCAACTATGATGTCAATAAAACATGGATCATAACAAATTTTCATCTTTATATAGTACAGCTGTGGTAACCTTTTACCGATGTTTTAATATCGATATGGTAATGCCGACGTAGTAAATGCTCAAAGTGGGGAAATATACTCCCTAAAAAACTCAGTGGAACGACCTTTAACGTTGTGCTTCGAGTAACTTATTATCTTTTTACGAGCTGCTGATTGGCCCACAACCAACTTTCTCGAAATCTATTGTTACTTTCCGGTAATCAGAGTTGTCAACTTTGTCTAAGTGGCCCTGGTTACAGTAGTCGCATTGTAAACGGTTATGCTTAATGCCACCACCCCCACACCCCCCCCCCCAGTACAATACAGTATGTTTATCAATTCTCCCAATAGGGGTTTCAGAATCAATTTACATGTACAAGAAAAATAGGAAAAATATAAAAATGTGTAGAAAACTAATGATGTAAGAGTGTTTACCCGCTGTTGTGCATGTACTGATCTGACTGGGTATTTCTGATCAATAATAGATGCGTTTCGCGAATGGCTCATTAACTGGTCTGACCAACCAGTTGTACCTAATCGTTTATGTTCTTTGTCAGCTTACCTTATCCGATCCCTTTTCTTCTTTGTCATGGTGTCCGTGTGATGATTCACTCTCACTTTCGTGATGACTTTCATGATGTCCGTGGCCTGATTCTGCAGCTTGCATGGATCCAACCTTAAGTTCTTTCAAAAGAGCTTCAAACTGCTTCAAGTCCATTGATTTGTTTTTGCCATATTTTTCGAACAAGCTGTCAACAAAAGATTGTGCTCCTGGTCCATTTACGCTCCGAGCATAGACATGCGAGAAAATATGACAATCTGTCGTGCTGATAAGGGTAATAAAGCAAAGAAGAGAGAAAACTTGCCAAGAGCTCCATGAACCCATTGTAAAGTAGTTTTACGACAAGGAGAAACGCTTTTGACGCCACTTCTGTGATGCAGTTGAGCACGTGTAGTTTTTTGAGCTCTGACAGATGACACGTCCTTCACCAGGCCTACAGGTGAAAAAGGTTAAGTGTGAGGGCCGTTATTTAAACAAAGTTTCTATTTATAGGTGCATTAAAGTGAAATTGTGTCTTTTTAAGTCTCCTCTACATGCTTGCTTAACTAATGTAAAGAACATTTACTTCTTTGGGTTGGTCTGATTCAAATAAACTAAGACCAATGGTTTTGGCAGCCCCATCTAAACTGCTAACAGTACGTGACGTATATGTTTAAACTAATAGGGATCAAAAGTATTATGGATAGAAGGAGCACAAGGAATCAAGGGCTAGTTACTTTTGTTTCAATCTAGCCTACAATCTGTTTATTCCTAAGGTTTTTGCTAAATGTGCACGTGCCCATGAAACTTGAGAACAATGCCACTGAATAATGTGGACGCTCACTGGTAAACACAAAACCTGGGGGAAAAATTGGTTATATTTGAGGCCCTATTTAAAAGCCTTTCCTGCTTTCAATGTTCTTGAAACTTGCAGGGTATATTTATTGACGATTGATGTCGGGATTTTTAAATTTATAAAAAAATTTATCGAGCGGTTTTTTTTAAAAATGCGAAATTTGTAGGCATGAACCAAATTACGTGCAAAAACTGTAACAAAAGCAGCTGAATGCAAGTTAATAAAATTCTTCTTACTCGCGATCGCCCAGAGCAATTCCCCTCTTTTTTTGTAGGCAGTTTTCAAAGGAATCAAACCACTATTAGAGGAAGCCACGTTTCCAAAGCTTATCATTTTCTTAAAAAATTAGCTAATTCAGTGGATAGCATGCTATTTCACTGTTTATATGATGCTTAAAACTTCGTTTCACTCTCTCATAGAATTTCTTCAAACTTTGCCATAATTGAGCCAATTATGGCAGGTACAAACTCCCTTAAGTGATTTCTTAAAAAAACTCCTGGTATAGAGAAACACAAAGATAAATAAAAAACGTGATGGCGTCGTTACGTTGCCATGGCCACTCCGATTGCAATAAAACCCAAATCATAAGAAATTTTCATCTTTATGCAACACAGTTGTGGAAACCTTTTTTCCATATCTTTACTCATGGCGGCGTAATTAATGCTCAAACTTGGGAGGTATCCCCCCAAAAAATATCCAGTCGAGCCACCTTAAGGCATCTGCGGTGATTGGTATACTGAGAACCTTTCCAGTTCTAAGGCTATTTCGTTGCTTCTTTATGTTAAGTCGACGAGTTTCTAATCAAAGTTTGCAAGTCGGAACAAAACTAGGAGTGGTCTCATAATAATTGAAACAGGAGCTGCTGTTACTATGAAATCGCCGCCGAAATAATGGTTGCTCGTTTTCAACCAATCACGGTGTGTTGTGCTGGCTAAATCACGAAAAGCACGAATTACCAAAGCAAAGATAGACACAAGTACCGACGACCAAAACTTCAATCTTTCTCACCTAGAGTGCTACATTTGCGTTGCAAGAAGTCTAGTAACAGTGGCGATCATGATGAGAATTAAACAGCTGTCACGACATAAGCGATTTGGAATAGTAACCATTCATTACTTAGACTGCAAAACAGTCGTTTTTTTTCTCAAAATCAGTAAAGCAAGCCGCACACGCCCGTAGCGCGTGTGAGGCGAGAGAAAAAAAAAACAGCGTCTCTCCCCAGTTTCGCTCTCTGTTTTTAGCCTCGTTCCAGACCTTTTGTTTGACTGCTCGCGTGTACTTGAATACGCAAAAATACGGACTGTTTTGCAGTTTATTCATTACTTGAATCCGCCATCTTTAGACTGCAAAACAGTCGGTTTTTTTCTCACAATCAGCAAAGAAATCGGTGAAGCGTGGCGTAAGAGTCGTATGCTCTGTTTTCAGCCTCGTTCCAGACCTTCTGTTTGACTGCTCGCGCGTATTTGAATACGCAAAAAAACGGACTGTTTTGCAATTTAGCCATCTTGGGAGTCGCTGTCTTCTCGGAAATAGAATAGTACTGGTATAAATTGTCGCCGAATGGCAAGAAAAGTTTCTGGGATTTTAGTAAAATTAAGAAAACAATTAATACCTCGAAAGTATTACCTATTTTTTTTAAAAACCTCCACTGAGATAAACCATTCTAATTGAATCCTCCCTGAAATTAGTGGGTTTTCCATATTTTTAAAGAGCACGTGCACGTGATCAAGGCATGATGGAAGCTGGCGTGACATAACTGACGGTGAGAACGCTGCCAGTTTTCACTTTCGTGAATTAACACAGCAATGCAAAGATGGACCCTCAGACTTAACAGCAAAGATTTTCGAAGTTATCACATAAAGAAATACATCTACTGGTAAAGAGAAATGATCTTGAAAACACAAGAAAATGCAACAAAAAAAAAAAAAATGAAAGGTCTGGTCCCCGAGAAAACGGTAATTTTTTTTTGCCCCGAATCCGACTTTCGAGTTGGGGAAGCATAGGTTCTCTCAGGAAAACATGACTGTGGAAACAGGGGCTACAGACTTCCTGCCCCCCGTACCTTGAATTCCCAGCTCCCGCTCCTCTTTTCGTGTCTCTTCCTCTTTAGCCCTTTTTTAATTGCAAACTGTAATGAGCATCTAAAAGTAATTTCCCGTTATTCCTCCCACTTTCCACGCGTTTAGAACTCTCACCCGGCTTCCCACCCTTCCCGCCCCGGCCCATTTTCCCAGGCTCCCAACCCCCTGTCCTTCCACACGAAACTAACAGATTCCCTTGAGAACTCGACATTAAGTGTAGAATGTTCTGTCAAGCTGTGTAATCCATACATAGTCGCCTTTCTATGTTTTACTTGGTTGATGTGACTGGTATTTCTTTAGTGGAGTTTAAGTTATCAAAAACACTTTTCCTTTCAAATCAAAGAGTGTATTGTAATGAACTAGAAGTCATCCACGATGAAGTCATGCACTATGCTTTCGGACAAAGGCTTGTCCTGATTAATATAAAGTGCTCTTATTTTTAAGGTTCACAAAAACGCAGCAGTTATCCACTTCAGTATGTTATCTCGAACTGCTTTTATTTTTAATTAGTGTAATTGAAATTTGTTTCTGGAATTTTAACATTAACAGCGTAACCTGTCATTATTTCTGAATGAACTTGAAAAACAAAAATTTTAAAACAGTTCCAGAACTGACTCAATGCTGATTTGCATAGGCCGATTTGATAGTTAGTGGGGGGTGACTCATTAGACCGGATTTTCTTAATGAATGCCTTCATGAACCTTCTGAACACAAAGGCTCTCAGAGATATTGGCACCCCAGGACGACCAATGTCGTCTGTTAGTCATTTCACAGGACATCGTAGGTTTGTAATCTGTTGCTCAACACTTGCGGTGGTGGAAATGTGTCGAAGATAGAAGGGTTGGAAAATATGCAGATTTTCACTATTTATCACTATTGACCGTAGATTGAATCCAACTCGCATCAAATTTGCATACTTAACCAGCCGTTTCTCAAACTTTTATTCTCATCCGCTGCTTCCCTGAAATACCAAGAAATATGCACAGGGTTCCCCTTTAAATTTAATTTACTCACAGCCAAATGTTAACATCTGCCAGCCCTGATCAGCGAATAATAAGATGGAATAAAAAAGCCATAACAGTTCATTTCAGCTTACTGCTAATACCTATCGTCCTGGGTGACGATTTTCAGACTCTACTAGATACAGATTACGGACGTTTATACCAGGAAATAAGACGCAAACAGTCCCGCATGAACGGCACATTTCGTCTCAAATAAGACGCGACTTAGCTAAGACGCGTCTTATCTAAGAACAGTGTAAAGGACTATGTTAAGATAAGACCCGTCTTAGCTAAGTCGTGTCTTATTAGAGAGGAAATATGCCGTTTATACAGGACAGTTTGCGTCTTATTTCCTCGTATAAATGTCCCTATTGTTCCACTTAGGTATACCGTGTGCCCTCAACGTATAATGCTCATGCAAAGTACCCATATTTCTAGCGTATGTTTTTTTCCCCTGGCCGCCCCGCAAGGCTACGTAGCAACTAACTTACGACTCAGTGACTGCTTTCTGTTAGGAGTGACAAAGCTGGTTAAAACTTTGCCACCATGCAGACGTATTTTCTAATGGTAAGCAACAGTGAACTCTGTTTCACTACACTAAAACTCGTAATGACTTAAAAGAGTAAAAATCTAATCTACGTGACAAAAATCGACGGTCATTGAAACAATCTAACAGTCGAACAGTAGATGTTAAAATAAATGTAAAGATTATCGCAGCTACTTAAGGACGCAATCTTATGCAGTTGGGAAAAGACAACCTGAAAAAATTCAGTCCTGCCGGGATTCACACTCACACTCACACAATTTATTATCAACTGAAATACATGAAGCAAGTTTCCCCCCGCAAATAACAGGTGCTAGCCGAGGAGGGAACAAGAGGGCAGAGATACAGGAGTACAGCAGTCAGTGATTCTTGACATCTGTGATACCGGTAAAGCGCTCTAATCAATTATTAACTAAGTTAGCAAACCAACTGGTAGCTGGTCATAAAGTTGGTTCGTAAGATAACCGGGAAAGATGAGGATGAAATGATGGATAAATGAAATTTCATTAAGTTAACTCATAGATCGACCGAGCGTCGTTAAACTCCCTCTCCCTCACGATCATAATGAACCGATTAACTCACGCATCAAAAAAGCAATCTAATGCGCTTGAACAAAATCTTGCCAAATTGAAAAGCACTTAATCCACAAGTATCGAAAATACGCTTTCATAGTGGATCTCTCTATTAACAAAAATAGAAACAAACATAAACGTTTATTGTCTTGGACCCCTCTACAAGTATTTCTTACCTCGACCAGTTCGTTCAGCAAGTACTTTGATAAACTTTAGTCAGCAAAATAGCAGCTCCTTTTTAAAGTGTTAATTCTTTCAGCCACGAAACGTCAGTTAACTGTTGTGGTTTGC